ACCGCTCCCGGAACCTTGGGATCTGGGTCTTGTCCTGGACACTCTTACCCGACCACCCTTTGAGCCAATGGCAACTTGCGATTTAAAAACTCTTACCATGAAAGTGTGTTTCCTGCTGGCTATCACATCTTCCCGTCGTGTGAGCGAACAGGCGGCGTTGTCTGCTAACCCTCCCTATACGTTATTCACAGAGCAAGGAGTAAATTTACGCAGTCATCCTGCCTTTCTGCCGAAGGTCAAGTCACCATTTCACATCAACGAACCCATCACTCTACCTACCTTCTATCCAAAACCGCACGCTACAGGAGAAGAGGCGCGTACACTCACTGGACCTTAGACGAGCGCTCGCTTTTACCTGGACAGGTTATGCCCTTTTCGAAAATCACAACGTCTTTTGTTGTCAGTAGCGGACTACTCCAAGGGCCAACAGCTTTCCTCTCAATGCACCTTTTCCCACATCGTAGCCTGCATCACCCGCTGTTACTCTCTGAGAAACAAACCCTTGCCTGGCAGACCAAAAGTGCACTCTGCCAGAAGCATGGCTATTTCTACAGCCTTTCTTAAGGGTGTGCCACTTCGTGACATATGTCAGGCCACTACCTGGTCCTCTACATCAACCTTCGCCAGGCACTATGCCCTTCAATGCGTCATGGCTATGGATGTGGCAGTGGCACACGCAGTGCTCTCCACGGTTCAAAGACCTTGATGCTGAAGCAAAACAAATTTGGGGTTACTGCTTCACATTCATCTTTCAGTGGAGCACCCACGGGGACACTACTCAAAGAAGAAGGAGTTACTCACCTGTGGAGTAATATCTGTTCTTCGAGATGTATGTCCTCATGGGTGATCCACGACCCGCCCTCCTCCCTGCTTCGGAACTATTGTCCTTATGGTTTTTTTTCAGATGTTCTGGCTAGGAGGAACTGGTGGGACGGACCGCAGAAAGGGCGCGAACGTGCGAGGCAGCTTCTGTGCATGCACAGTCCTCCAGGGGCTACTGCTGTAGAAAAATCTCCGGACTGCAGCACCGGGACGATCCCGACACCTTTCAGTGGAGGACTCACGGGGGGACACATCTCGAAGAAGAGATGTTACTACACAGATGAGTAACTCATTCTTCTCCCTACCAACCCCAGTTAATTCAAAAGATTCCCGAGGAGTTGAAGCTTCTGCATGGCAATGAAGAGCACCAACTCTTAGGCAACTAGGTTGACCCAGGGTAAAATGAAGAGATTTGGGAACCAAAAGCAGGTTCTTTATCTGGCAGTACTCTAGACCAGCCTCATAAATTTCCATTTCAACAATGAAATCCTCTTCCTAGTTCACTGCATCATTTATCCTCCTGAGCTTCGTACATCCCTCCACTGGCTTCCTCTTTTCTACTGCATCAAACAAACTACTTCACTTCATAGAATAATAATAGCCTTTTCTGGAAACAAAGTTCTTCAGTATTCTATTATACCCAGTGCCAGACAATTCTAATTGTTCAGTACAGTATTTCCTATGAAGTGTAAAAGCTTCTCCTGCAGAATTTTTCAATATGATAGCATTGCAACATTGCAGAAAATGCCTTCACCCATTACAACCTCTGTATGGAGGAAAAATAGTGATGTTTTCATAAAATTCATCCCAGGGGGAAGTTTACCATGTTTGTCTCTATAACTACTACTGTTTCTCTGTTCCCACAACACACTAAGGCTACGTCTACACTGGCAAGATTTTCCGAAAATGCTTTTAACGGAAAAGTTTTCCGTTAAAAGCATTTTCGGAAAAGCACATCTAGATTGGCAGGATGCTTTTCCGCAAAAGCACTTTTTGCGGAAAAGCATCTGTGGCCAATCTAGACGTGGTTTTCCGCAAAAAAGCCCCGATCGCCATTTTTGCCATTGGGGCTTTTTTACGGAAAACAGTACTGTGCTGTTTACACTGGCCCTCTTGCGCAAATGATTTGCGCAAGAGGGCTTTTGCCCAAACGGGAGCAGCACAGTATTTCCGCAAGAACACTGACGATCTTACATGAGATCAGTGTCCTTTCGGAAATTCAAATGGCCAGTGTAGACAGCTGGCAAGTTTTTCCGCAAAATCAGATGATTTTGTGGAAAAACTTGCCAGTCTAGACACAGCCTAAGGGTATGTTAATTGTGTATCTGAATTTGAAGTTGCTTAACTCGGCTTTTGGCACTATGTACGCTGCAGGAAGTCCAAGAAAGAACACTCTTCCTTTGACTTCCCTTACTTGAAGTCAGCGTAAGAAGCCCGTTATTTCAAAATTATTTTGAAATAACGGGCTTGCTTTGTAGATGCACACGCTGTTATTTTGAAATAAGCATGCAGTGTAGACATAGCCTAAGAAGTCTGGGTTTTCCATGAGCTTATAGAAGTAAGATTTGTCAATGGCTTTGAAATCTCTCCTCCAGCCTTGCTCCCTGAAGTGCTAAATCCCATTTAAAAAGAGTGGCCTGTGATTCATTTCACATCACTCACCTGGCAAAGGGTGGCAGCCAGTGTTCCCGCTAAGATTTTCCATCCAGGAGCAGAGTGAGTTTTGTCTTGTGCACCAATATTGAGGTCCTGTGTGCTTGTTTGGATGTGTGCCACTGTGGCACCCAGGTTATTAACAAAATATATTTTACAATGTTAAGGAAGAAAGAATACTAAAACAAATATATTTTATATATTTTTTAAAATGTTATGGAAGAACGAATACTAAAACAAGGGATAATTAACAGGGTGCATGACTTTAAATGTTTATGTAATATGAAGTCAGATAAAAAGAAAATTAATACCGCAAAATTTTCAGTAGACAACACCCTCTGTTTATAGCCCTCTCCCAGACCCTCGCCCAGCTGGAATAGATGATCTTCCTTGCAGGCTTATTATTACTATCAGAATTCAAAACACCAAAAAGATATTGGAGGGTTTGCTAGCAATATGAGAATTATGAGATCCAGCAGAAAAGTCTGAACTACAGCAGCTCTCAACTTTTATTAGGATACCAAGGCATGACCACCGTGCATGAATGCAGGAACGCTGAAAGAGTGAAAGATGTATCTAAGCTCCCTTTGTGCCTTCTGTATTTTCCATCTAGCCAGAAGCAAGTCCAGCTGCTGGTGTATGTTAGAGCAGCCTCAAGGCTGCTGTAAGTCTGCACTGCCCACAGTTCCATAGAAGTCATAGGAGGCCAAGAATAAGCACAATGCGGCACTGTTCTAGTTTTCCTTCAGAATGCCCCTAGCTCAGGAGCTGGGTGGGGGGCACCATAGAGCCATTTCATTGGCTCTAAGCAAGATAGGGAGTCCTACCTACACTGAGGGTTAGACCCAAATAGGGAAGTGAGATCACTGGAGTGCAAAATGGCCATACTGCATGATGTGCATAATGCTGCACAAATAGGATGGATTCCCACTGGCACAGCCAGGCAGAATCTGGGGCAGGGCGCTCCTTTGCCCCCTTTGCAGTGGTGCCGGCAGCCTGTGGCACACTATTGGGGGAGTCAACATCACTCCCTCCCCCGGCTGGATCCCTGCCCTGTTTTTCTCCACCACCACCCCCATCCTTCTACCAGTGTCTGAGCCGTGTGGTTGCTGTCAGCACAGGGCGGCAGAGCAGCAGGAGAACAAGTGGTAGGCAGCACCATGTGGGCTGCAGGGCACCCAGGTGCTGGGGCGGCAAGCCCACAGTGACATCAGAGCACTGAGCAGCGCCATCATGCGCCTTCCCCTTGGGAAGGAGACTCACTCAAGGCCTGATGTGAAGGCCCTAGTGTCTCCAGTGCCTCTTGTGCCTGCTCCCTCTCCTGCACCCCTCTGCCGGCGATGATGACAGGAGAATGGCAATCTGATACCCCGTAACAGCAGCTCCCAGTCTCCCCCATGCTGCACTGCAGCCCCAGCTCCTGGAGCAGCCACACCGCAGCCCTGGCTCCAACTCCAGCAGCTGCCCCGGCCCCAACCTCCAGAGCATCTGCCACCCCCTATGTGTCCCTGGCCCCAGCTGCCACCCGTCATGCAGCTCTGGCTCTGGCTGCCAGAGCAGCTGCTACCTGCCATGCAGCTCCAGCCCCCAGAGCAGCCGGCTCCAGCCCCCAGAGCAGCCAGACAGTCACTAGATGGCCCTGGCTGTAGTTCCTGCTGTGGGGAGTTGGGGACAGCAAAGAGCTGCCTGGATGAGCCCCCACTCACCCACCAGCACTCCTAGCAGCAGCAGCTGGTCTTCACCTCTGCTTAAGAAGTGGGCAGGATTGAAATTTCCTCTGTGTGCCCGCACAAGTGCGCACCTTAGAGGGAACTTTTAGCCCACAGTTCATCTAAAGCTGGATTCATAGAAATAACAAGACTTCACTAGGCTGTTTTAGATTTCCTTAGTGCATAGTCTGGCACTGTATAATAATTTTACCCCCCTCCATCAGATGGAATGTAGTAACTGTCCTGGAGATCTTTAAATCACATGTAGAGATTGAGAGATTACACAAGGAATTGGTCAGAGGACATGTAGCTTTTTGTTTCTATGTTATTAGCTTCCACCTGGCCTCAAGAAAATGCCAGTCATCACCCTTCGATAGCTGTTAATTGATAGATTTCATAACAATTCCTAGCGGTAGGTTTCATAACAACTCCTAGCGGTAGAAGATGGCATCACAATAACCATCATCACATTTTGCAGTAATTTGTCCCTTGTTAGCAAACCCAGGAGATGTAACAAGGACAGAATAAGTCACAGATTCTGCATTCTCATCTTACCTCTCACCTCCACTGCAGAAATGGAAAGGTAGCGTGTAGTGGAGACCGGGAGTGTGCCTATACCAAGGTTAGTTAAGTACCATTATTAAGCTGTTCTTTAGTGGGATGGGTTAGGCTGTTATTTCAAATATAGTTTGTTGTAAAACTAAGTCAGTAAACAAAGTGAGAGGGTGCATATGAATTACATGGTAGCTACCATGATGTGACATCAATTCATGCAATAGCCATATTGTTCCCCCCGCCCTTTCTCTTTTCCTTTAGCCTTGACACAATTATGGGCCTGCCTATGATCTCTGCAGGAAGCTTTGGACTGTCATGTGACTACAAAGAAAATCTGACTCGAATCCTGACTCCAGGCAGGAAACTGACCTACTTCTTCTTTGATTTCTGGGCAGAGTCCAGATTGCCATTCAAAACCGGCTCTTGGCAATCCACCTACTTCTATAAGACGAATGACAACACAGAAGACTGCTTCTGGTAAAAGCATTCTCAAGTCTCTCCCAGCTACTGTCTTAAAAAGATACCTCTGGAATGATTCCTTTAGGCTGTCCTTAGATTTTTTTTTTCCTCCTTTTTCTCTCTACCGCTGTCATAGAAATGACTTGAGCATTGGAAAAGCCCAATTAGATTAATTAATCCTTCTCTCCAGAACAGCAAAATTCTCTACACAGCATTTTCCATTGTTACATCCAGTCTGCTTGCAAATATTCCCAAATATTTGGAAGTCACACTTTCATCAGGTGCCTTGAGAGAGTATTTCACAGTCTAATAGATTTCACTGCCAGAGTTTTTCCTGGTATGTAAATTAAAATGTTCCTAATTAGGTTTCATCCCATCACTCCTAATAATGACCTTTTGTATTATCCTAAATAATTCCACTCCTTCCTCTTTGTTGCCTGATTGGCCCCACACAGGATACTAATCAGTCCTATTATTACTTATATCTTGCTAGGAGGAAAAGGGTGTGTCTGGTGGTTGTGAAAGTGGGGGAGGAATCAAGTCCTTGGTTTTTCGTCATGATGTTAAGAGGCGGGTAATTGGCCAATCATGTAGTAATAGAGGTAGCAGCAAGGTTGGGGGGCAGGCAGCACTGTGTAGATGGTGCTGTGGGGAACCGGCTTTTAAGCTGGCTCCCCACTAGCAATTGTTCTTGCCCTGCCCTTGCTGCCTTTACATCATGGTGGGCTGTGTCTACATTGGCACCCCTTTCCGGAAAAGGGATGCTAATGAGACCAGTCGGAATTGCAAATGCCATTCCGCGAGGGATTTAAATATCCCCCACGGCATTTGCATGAACATGGCTGCCGCTTTTTTCCGGCTCGGGGTTTTGCCAGAGAAAAGCGCCAGTGTGGACGGGATCTTGTGGAAAATAAGCCCTTTTCCGAAAGAGGCTTGCAGTCTAGACATAGCCTTAGAGGGAACACTTCCCCCAGCCTCTCAGACCCTGAGTTAATGTCACACACATTGGGTTAATGCTATTGCAGGATAGTTGCATGAGGGGGGTTTGGTGGGGGTCAAAATAATCCCTATTGCAGTGGTCCCCAATGCGGTGCCAGCGGGCGCCGTGGCATTTATGTGTGCCTGCCTAGTGACCAGGGCTGGCCCGAGCCATTCTTGCACCCTGGGCGTGTGGCGCATGAGCGGTGCCGCACCCGGCAACCCCGAAAGGTTGGGGACCACTTCCCTATTGGTAGGAGGATGGTGGGAAAAATCCTTAGAGGGGGGGTCACATGAAACCTTTTACTTCTGGTGATGTGTTCTAGAGGCCTGGCTAATGGGAATCGGGGTGTGGCTAATGGGGGTCAGAGGTGTGGTTAACAGGGGTCAGGGGTGTGGCTAATGGGGGTCAGAGTACATTTTTAAACAATTATTTGGGTGTATACCCTAACAAAATGTGCTGCACACACCTATGCCTTTCAGTGTGACTTATGCATGTATTTAAGTGAATTGGGAACTAAAATACAATCCCAGTTCCATTATCTCATAGATGTTTAATGGCCATTTTCTCTTAGTATTTGTCCTTTTATTAAGGATAGGAATTTGACTTGACTTAGGATGATATTGGCCAGGATCATTTTTCTTTCATCTTTTGGAAGTCAGTTGGGTTTTTTTCCATCTAATCTTCTGCTATATTCCCAAGTCATAACTTTCTAAAAAAAATGTCTATGGTATCATACATTGTTTAGCTAGATTCCTTTAATACTTTAGGTTTTCTACCATTCAGTACTGTTGCTTTCTATATTTTCATAATTTCCAAGTATTTTCTTGCTTTTTCTTCATAAATACTACTTTACATTATCTTCTTTATTTCCTAATTGTTCAAACCTTGTTTCTTTTATTGTTATATTCAAGGAGGACTATTTTAAGAAAGGAGTTTAGTATCTCTGCCACTTTTAGTTTTCATCAATTTAATATTTTCTCCTAATTTTCTAGTGCTTATTTTTCTCCTAGTACAGTTATATAAAGGCATCTTCTTCTGTGTAAAGTATTTTGGTTAACTGAAGTGTTTAAAATTTATTATTTTATTTTTTAACTGGTTCAGTTTCCAATAAAGCATCCATTAAATAGTATGGCATGGTTAATTCTCCCACTCCCCCACAAATATTTCAAGGCATGAGACTATTCATGTATGAAAAGTTAAGATACCGGAATATGTGCATGATTGGAACCTTATTCACAGAGGGTGTGTCTAAACTACACCCCTCTGCTGACAGAGGGATGTAGATTAGGCACATCGCTATTGCAAATGAAGCGGGGATTTAAATATCCCGCGCTTTATTTGAATAGAAATGACCGCCGCTTTTTGCCGATGTGGCACTTTGCCGGCAAAAAGCGGCAGTCTAGATGGGGATCGGTCAACAAGGAAAGCCTTTTCCGACCAATCCCTTATGCCTTGTGCAATGAGGTATACAGAATCGGTCAGAAAAGGCTTTCCTTGTTGACCGATCCCCATCTAGACTGCCGCTTTTTGCCGGCAAATTGCCGCGGTGGCAAAAAGTGGCGGCCATTTCTATTCAAATGAAGCGCGGGATATTTAAATCCCCGCTTCATTTGCAATAGCGATGTGCCTAATCTACATCCCTCTGTCGGCAGAGGGGTGTAGTTTAGACACACCTTAAAAGTATGAACTTGTAAAGTGAAAACAATGGGGCTGTGTCTACATTGGCACCCCTTTCCGGAAAAGGGATGCTAATGAGACCAGTCGGAATTGCAAATGCCGTGGGAGATTTAAATATCCCCCGCTTCATTTGTATAAACATGGCTGCCGCTTTTTTCCAACTCGGGGCTTTGCCAGAAAAAAGCACCAGTCTAGATGGGGATCTTTCGGAAAATAAAGCCTTTTCTGAAAGGTCCCTTATTCCTGATTTTAAGAGGAATAAGGGACCTTTCGGCAAGTCTAGACTGGCGCTTTTCTCCGGCAAAGCCTGGAGCCGGAAAAAAGCGACAGCCATGTTCATGCAAATGCCGCGGGGGATATTTAAATCTCCCGCGGCATTTGCAATTCCGACTGGTCTCATTAGCATCCCTTTTCCGGAAAGGGGTGCCAATGTAGACACAGCCTGGGAGAAAAAGGGATTCAGCACTTCACAGGATGTAGCCCCAAGTGCTATTGGATCACCAAGGGTACAACTACACTGCACAGTAATTCGAAATAAGATACGCTATTTGAGCTGTGCAAATTGCATATCTTATCTTATTTTGATGCTATTACAAAATAGCTTATTTAGTCATTTGTTGCTGTTCTACACAGTGCCAAATTTTGAAATAAAGTGCTATTCTGAAGCTTCCCTTACTCCTCGTAGAATGAGCCTTACAGGGACATTGGAATAGCGAGCCCAAAATAATGGGCTTGCTGTGAAGACACAGGATAGATATTTCGGGATACTCCAGTATCCTGATATAACGTTGCAATGTAGAGGTAGCTCAAGGGAGAAAAAATAGAGAAAACTATTTCTTCTCCCTCCATCAGTTTTTCAAATATAGTGATCTAAGGTAACTAAAGGAGATAACATAATTTTCAGCTAAAAATAAGATATTCAAGCAATTTCCCTTTAGTGTTTTTATCTAGCATTTTTTTATTTTTTTAAAACCTTCAGTATTTAAGCAGTCCTTTGAAAAACCCTGCTTTTTAGCCACTCCTTATCTTTCCAGCAAGCTTGAATTGACCTTGCACTCTTATTTTTAATCATTTTTTTAAAACCTCCAGTATTTAAGCAGTCCTTTGAAAAACCACATTTGCTCCTTTGCACTTTTATTTGTATCTTCTAGGATTCCCTAATCTCCCATTCAGATTCATTGACTAGATTTTTGTAATTCCTCAACATTTTCTGATTTGAAAATTAATATGTTACTATACTAATGTCTTATTTGAACCAATCCTTTATAATACCAGATTTAAGTGGCTCTTGGTCAGGGTCAAAGTTTTCCTTTTTATGCTCTGTATTGCTTTCCCTCCCACATTCTGTTTAATTTTATTGATGTTGAATGACTATTGGATTCTACCCCAGAACAGGCTACATTTCTGTAATAGGTGTAGTGATTCTTATTTGCTGCAAACAGTCTATCAGACATTTTAAGATTATTAATGAGAGAAGGTGATATATAAATGTAAGACAGTAGCGATATTTTCAGTTGATCTATAACCTGCACATCATTCCCTGCATCAGGTACCTCAATGCACTGGAGGCCGGAGTCTCATATTTCTCTTCAAAGCTGACGACCAAGGAGGTTTTAAGGACTCCAGAACAATTAAAGAAAATTGTGAAG